AGGGCAGTGATAATAGCAGGGACTCTGGAAACAAGATCAGCAACCTGAGAAACCCCACCAAGCAGTATTTGCTACTCAATGGAACACAGCTCAGTTTCTTACCATGAAGTCCAGTGGAATACCTACAAATCGGGGACTCCTTATCATTGGTTACTTATAAAATAAAGAAATCTCTGGCTTACCCTAGGCTGTGTGGGTAGGATTTTCATTTTTGGAAACCAAATGGAGGCCTTTCTCCTACTCTTTCCAGATTGTCCCCCCCCACCTCCCCATTTCATTTTCCACTTGTGGCCTCTACCTCCCACAGGCTGACCAGGACCATGCACAAAAACAGCCTCCAATGAATATCAACACTGAAGATTCAGCGGGTTGCTAACTGCCGCAGGCCTGTCTTAAAAAGGAGAGTGTATACAAATGGAGCCTGGGAGATCTCTAAGAACACTGTAAATATCCCTGGTTTAATTAGTAGTGGTGGAATTAGGTAATGGCCTGTGGCTTCTAAGCAAGCCCTCTTGGGGTTTCTAGTCTTCAAGGGGCTGCCTCCAACCATGATGGGCTCATACACAGTCTTCTTTTTCAGACACCGAATAAATCCTTTTAGACCTTCCTAGGCACCTACTCACGATTACTGCAATACACATGCAAATTGATCCCATTCTCCCAGATCTAAAAAAAAGAAAGAAAATGAGCCAGTGCCTCAGCCCAGGTCTCAACTCAGATTCTTTGGACTCCAATTGTCTCCTTGAGTTCTACTTTCCAGGGGGAAAGAAAAGGAAGAAATTCCTAGATTCGTGTTGATTGGTGTTCATTCTCTTCAAGCAGAAAGTGTACAACTCGCTTTGCAGCTGATCAGTGTCAGGGTAAATGCGCTACAGTTCTCAGAATTTCTGAACCAGCTCTCTCACAGGGATAGGTCAACAAATCGGGGCTGTTAGCCGACTTGACAGGTTTGCTCTGGGCTGATGGCCATTGACTAGGTTCTCCGACCAGATAAGTCGCTTGGCTGAGTCTACAGTAGGTGGGGCGCGCTCACCGGCTCAGGGGTAGTGACTGGAAGTTTGTTGCAACACTGGTGGATTCAAGCGGCGGGCTGCTGCTGCAGGAGATACCCTTTGCCCCGGGTGCACAGAACCAGAAAGGTTCGCCCCAAGGGGCAGGGCACTAGCGAGGGAGATGCCAGACCCCTGGGGCCCCTCTCCTTCTCCCACGGTTAGGAACGCGCACTGTTGGCCGAGCCGGAGCTCCAAGTCTCAAGTCTTGGCAGTTTCGCTGGCTCGGTAGGTAGCACGCGAATGGGTAGGAGCCGCTTGGGAGCTCTCCCTCCGAGGTCCGCGAGAAGCCGCGGCCGCGGCCAGCAATGCGGGGAGGCGGGGCACGTGCTTGAAGGTGGGTGCTTGTGTAACCAGCTCCCCAGGCGCCAGCATCGACAGCGCTCGGGCCGGAGGCTCGTAGGAGCCTGTTTTTCCGCCGCGACCCGGAGGCTCGGGGTCCCGCTGCCGACAGACGGCAGCGGCACCCCGGGCGAAGGACGCGAGGCACTTGCCTCCCGAGCCATCATAGGGGAGTGGGAATTTGGAAAGTTCCCCAACTAGGAACACACGTGACCTCCTCCTGAAAGTAGTTCCGACTGTGGCCCGCGTATCCCTCCACCGCCTTTTGAACCCTCCTCGGTCTCCCCGGCCCCGCCCACTCTCAGGGGCTGCCGCTTCCTACCGTCCCGTATTTCACAGTCGGGCACGGGCAGCGCCGGCCGCCAGCGTGCGCAACCCGGCTCGGGGAGCGCGGAAGCCGGCCCGCGGCGATCCACCCGGCCGGGTTTTCACAGCGGCCCGAAAAGGGGCGGGGCCAGGCAGCCTCTGAGCCCCGAGCCCGGAGTCCGACGCGGTGAACCGAGCTGGAGCCCCGAGGGGAGGGATGCTTAGCTCTCCAGGGGGAAATGCAGGGGGCTGCGGGGTGCGTCCCGTCCTCCGGGGTCCACTTTCGGTGCAACGCGGGCAGTGGTCCTTGGGGACCTTAGACGTCCAGGGGCGATGTGCTCACACGCAGCGCGCTCGGCTGCAAGCTCTCATTTTTTAGGGCGAAGGAGCCGAGCTGCTGGGGAAGCGGGAGGTGGGGCGGTGAGAGGGAGCCGGATGAGGTGATACACACGGAGACACAATAGGGGGTTGTTCTTTGTGCTAAGACTGACACCTTGAGGACACGGGCGGGGGGTGGACAGAGAGGTGGGTTTTCTCGGCAAAGGCGGCTGCAGGCGAGTCCCTGCGAACGACAGTGATGCCACAGCGGTGCAAAAGGAGGACGAGGCTGCGGGCCGGGCCGGGGAAATCTGGGGGCGGAGGCGGGAGGGAGGGGCGCCCTCGCGGCGGGGACGGTCCCCGCGTTTCCCTGTCCCCCGATCAGCGCGAGTCACCTGGTCCTCCCCACCTGTGCACAGGTAACCTCAGACTCGAGTCAGCGACACCGCTCAGTGCACCCCTCAGCTCTCCCCGTCCCCGACCAGATTTCTGGGCACAGGCCGAGGCTTGGCTCGTTCTCCCCTCTTCAACTCCCGCACCACCCCCCGCCCCGCGCTGCTGCAGAAGCGGCCGCGGCAAGTGCAGCTCCTGGCGGGCGCCTCGCACAAGCCCGAGCGAGCCCCGGGAGCTC